TGTGCAGAGAATCTTGACATTAATCTCAAAATTCTGAGATTAAAGTCAGAATCCTGAGATTAAAATCAGAATTCTGACTTTTGTGCAGAGAATCTTGACATTAATCTCAAAATTCTGAGATTAAAGTCAGAATCCTGAGATTAAAATCAGAATTTTGACTTTTTTGCTTAGAATTTTGACACTAATCTCAAAATTCTGAGATTAAAATCAGAATTCTGACTTTTTTGCTGAGAATCTTGACATTAATCTCAAAATTCTGAGATTAAAGTCAGAATCCTGAGATTAAAATCAAAATTCTGACTTTTTTGCTTAGAATTTTGACATTAATCTCAAAATTCTGGGATTAAAGACAGAATCCTGAGATTAGAATCAGAATTCTGACTTTTTTTGCTTAGAACTTTGACATTAATCTCAAAATTCTGAGATTAAAGTCAGAATTCTGAGATTAAAATCAGAATTCTGACTTACTCTACAGAAGAGGAATAAGGAAAATGGGGATAAATATAAAGAAGTTAACAGATTTTTTTATTTTATGTTATTTGAGTTTAAAAGTCAGAATTCTGACATTTTACACAGAATTATGAGATTAAAGTCAGAATTCTGATTTTTTTTTCCATATTAAACTCATATCACATAGAGAAATCGGTTAGCATTTTGTTTTTCCAGTGTCCCTAATGCTCTTCCGTACTTTGGTGCTAATGTTTTTATAGAAATGTATTTTTATTTTCACACTTACGTCCAGGTTGGCTCCGGAAAGGTCAGCCCGCTCCAGATTGGAGCAGCACAGATTAGCATGCGTCAAATTGCAGCGGCTGAGGTTAGCCATCTTGAAATTGATGTAACGTAGATCAAGTCGGGACAAATCCGCACCGCTGAAGTTAAGACCCTAAGGACAGCAAAAGCAGCAAGGTTAATATCTATTCCATGTAGCCGTTATGGAGAAGAGGAAACTATTTTTTTGAGTTAGCTTCACCTGGCAGCGGAGCTCCGACTTGGTAGAAGTCGCCAAAAGAAAACGAACAAACTCTTTTCTGGAAATGGGTGAGTGGTCCTCGGGGGGCTGGGAGTTCTGTTTTAATGATAAAAAAGGAAAACTTGTGAGAGGAGAAAATGACGAAAGCAAAGGGGGGGGGATTATTTTATTGGTATTTGATGATACCTTGATTGCTGCTTCCAGCTGTTCAGCCAGCTGCTCGATTCCAAAGAAGCGCGCCTCCTCCAGGACCCCTGGAAATCATTCAGAACTATCACACCATCCATGATCGACTGAGTGTTGGAGACGATCTAAAGTCTCCTCTGGAAGCTTACCTCGCATATTTATTCCTTCATTGACGATGAGCTGACCGTGTCTCAAGTAGTTGAGAATGGGCTCAAAGTATTCAGGGCTGCGGTCGATCAGGTAAGCCCCGTGTTTGTCCTGTTTGTTCCCCCAAACATCTGGAGTCACACAGAAAAACGTTAAAAAGGGACCCTGAATAAAAAGGTTGCTTAAAATCAAACAATGTCTGGTACCTTTCTCACGGAACATGTGAGCGAGCATGCTCTCCGGCTCCTTGCTGACCAAAGTACTCCTAAACAACAGATTAGAGAAGGTTAACAAAGAGCTAATTAAAGCTTTAAGTTTTTGATAACAGAAAGGTTTTATTCCTGCTAGCAGGAGGTTACCCTCTGCTCACCTTTAGGAAAAAAACAAAACAACTCCCACAGCATCATAGTGCCACCACTACGACTGAGTATTAGGGCTAGGCTAATACTTCGATTTTGAGAATAAAGTTGCAACGAGAAAAGTCATAAAATTGCAAGAAAAAAGTCTATTATGAGAATAAAGTAATACAATTATGAGAATAAAG